GAAAATCTTGGCAGTATGACTTGGGTGATTGAGGCGGAAAGGCCTCAATGTACTGGACACCTCATGCTCCCCAGCTTTGTGGAGTCCGGTGAGGAACGGAGGTGGATCAGCGTGGAAACCTGCTTTCCCTTGTGTCCCTGCATAATCTATAGAACGGAATGATGGGGGGTGCTGCCGCTGTGGGCCATGGTTACTATGTTTTTCTTACCTGGAAAGGTGATGTCAGACAGAGCCCCCAGCTTGTTGAATGAACAGCCAGTGATGGTCCCATCAGTTCAGTTCTCTGTGAGTCTGTCATCAGAGGAGCCTGCCCCTGGAGAACTGCTCCCCAAGCTAGAGGCTCAGACTTCTCCATGTGCTGCAGCCAGGACAGGAGCACCATGGGGCACTTTCACCAGGCCACCCGATGGCTCTCCCTGCTGCTGGCCAAGTGATGGACCCCAGAGTGCCTACCAGTCTATGCCTGCCTGTCCAGCCTCACCTCCAGAAGGCTGGGACAATCCAGAAGCCTGGGCTGCATAGTGAAGGGATGGCTGGGGCCTTGGCATTCTGGATGGCCATGTAGAATGGGGCAGTGACCAGGGTAATGACAGTCTTGGGGCTCCTTTGCTCTTGGTCTAAAGATGACAAGATGTATAAAGTTTTGAGAAGATGCTCCCTCCAAATAAAATCCTCCACAACCCTGAAGGGGCAGCTGAGTTTCCTGTGCACGCGGAGCTGGTTCTGGAAAAACAATAGTAGGCACTTATAAGCTGTTTGGACCCTCTTGTGACAATGCCCCCTGAAAATTTCAACTGAAAGCAGTAAACTTTCTTGGAAAGAAAATTATTTCAAAAAAATTGGCTTTCTTAGGGGGAGGGGGGACTCAGTGGGGGGGAAATGAGAAACATCTGTAACAAAAATTAATTAATAAAATTAAATTAAATTAAAAATTGGCTTTCTTATATAATGATTTAACATACCACCTCTCACCAGCAGGTGTCACCCTCATTTAGAAGAAAAAAGTAGTAAAAGCTTTTTAGGCGAAGGAGCCTAACCAACACTTCCAGCTTACCGGAAGTTTCTTAAATTAGCTGTGTAGTTATCAGCTGCTTGCTATTGTAATTTTTATAAATAAAACAAGTGGTTCATTGATGACATATAAAGACAATCAAGCTAGCCCTGGCCAGGTGGCTCAGTTGACTGGAGTATTGTCCCATATACCAGAAGGTTGTGGGTTCAATCCCCAGTCAGGGCGTGTACAGTAGGCTACCAGTTGATATTTCTCTCTCCCTTTCTGTTTCTCTGAAAATCAATAAAAACATATCCTCAGGTGAGGACTTTTTTAAAGAAAGAACAAATGCCAACCCACAGCTCCTTTTGCTTTCTCCTGTACTGCTACGTGAAACGGCGACGCGCAGGGCGATGCGCAGGTGTGGCTTGAGGGTCAGGCTGACTGAGGAGAGGAATGTCCAGATTGTGTGGGTACCCGCCCTGTCTTTGGGCAGCAGTAGATTGAGACATTTGGATCTGAAGACAGTGAATGGCTCACCACCAACTACCCGTTGGATCTGTCAGTAAGAATAGATCCAGATTTTCAGATCCTCCACTTATTAGTTTGAGAATTTGTTAATTGGCTGCTAGTTTCAAAGATCTGAAAAATACTAGCTGAAACCAGAGAAGATTTTTCAGTAGCTCATAGGAAAAGGCCAGGGGTGCAGTTCCACGGGTCCGAATTCTTGGTTCCCTCTACGTCATTGCTCTGCTGAGTTGTGAGGCTTCTCGTCCCTTTGCTGAGGGTCCGGGGTGGCTCCCCGCCCAGCAACCACAGCGCTACTACTTCAGGCAGGGAGAAGTGTTACTGTGAGAGTGAGCATGTGGGTGACTAACTGAGAGCCCGTATTTGCTCTGTGCTCCCGGGCCCTGGTCTCTCTTGTTAATTTAGCAAATACTTTGTGACTCTTCTGTGTGTGAGGTAAGGTGCTAGTACTTCAGCTAGCACAGAGCTGTCAGGGAAAAGCACAGAACAAGCTTGTGATCTGCTGCAACTGACGGTCCTTTATGGAAACAGATAACTATTTAAATTTAGCATCTTTCTTAGAAACCAGCTCAAACTTTTTCTCTCTCTAGAAGACAAACCAATGTTATTTAGTAGAAATACAATTCATGCCTCAAGTGTGAGCCACATAAGTAAGTTTAAGTGTTCTAGTAGAAACATTTTAAAATAAAGACACAGGTGAGATTACTTTTAATAATTATATATATGTTTTTATTGATATTTTAGAGAGTGAGGACAGAAGAAAAACATTGTTGTGAGAAACATTGATCAGCCGCCTACTGCATGCCCCTCCCCTCCCCTCCAGAGATGGAGCTCGCAACCCTAGCCTGAGCCCTGACCAGGAATAGAACCAGGACCTCAGTCCATGGGACAGTGCTCCATCCACTGAGCCACACCGGCCAGGCTTAATATATTTTTAACTTGGTCTATTTAGAATGTTATCATTTTAACATGAAATCAATATAAAATTGCTAAGAAGATATTTTCTATTTTTTGTACTAAGGAAATCTGTGTGTATACTTACAGCTCATCTCAGTTCAGACACAAGTACTCTGTAGCCACATGTGGTTAGTGGCTGCCATACTGTGCGTGGTCCTGCTTCCTGTCCAAGTGATTGACTTGCAGTCAGTACACGTGCTCTGTGTCTTGTGGTTTGTATTTCCTCAACGGACTGTGGTTCACTGCAGCAGTCAGCACTGCCCTGGGCTCGGACCAGGGAATTCTTGTCTGGCCTTTGGGCACATTCTGCTTGAAGAGTGACTGCTTCCAAGCTGCACTGTCCAGTAGGCAACTGAAGATTGAGGTTGGACTAGAGCCAAGGGCAACATGGGGCAGTAGGTGGGTGTCAGTGGCATAGAGATAATGGTCAGAATCGTGAAACTAGGTGACCTCTCCAGAAAGTACAGGGCAGAGGAATGAGTCCAAAGACTCAAAGTCCATTTGTGGTTGCAGGGCCCGAGGAGCCAAGAGGACTCTGAAGGACACAGGAAGGGGTGAGCAGTAGATCAGTCTCCTGTTGACAGGCAGGCGTGCAGTGGCTGTGGTTTAACTCATGCTCAGGGCTGTGACACAGTGAAAGCATCTGGGTCTCTAAGACGCAGTCTAACAACCTCTTAGCCTTGAGGTTTTCTCTGTCTGCTTGTGCAATAGCATCATATCACCTCTTTATTCATAAAGATGGGTGATCCTCACAATTGGAGAGGAGGCATGGAACAAAGTCATTAACTGTAATGATTTTTTTTTGTTGTTAAGACAAAACAACACTCACACTGACAGCAGTGGAACTGGGTAGACCCAGGAGATTGCAGCGCAGTCAGGAAGTGCTGAGGGTGTCCTGAGGTTTGGGGCCAGGAATTTGTGGTGACACCAAACTGGATGGCTGTAATTTTTTGAGAGAGCCTGAGCGTTCTGAGTTGGGGTAGAGAGAGTGGACAGTGACTTCATCCAGGATTGAGGGTTTGCTGGGCACAGCCACAGAAGAACGGCGGCCAGCAGCCTTACAGATACTGACTGTGCAGACAGAGTAGGACGTCGCGCTGGACGGCAAAGCCCATGTTGAGAGCCGAGAAATGCTGTGAAAGGCGGACAGTGACATCTCGCATTCTCTGCAGCGTTGCCTGGAAATGTCTTTATGATGTTACTTACATATGAGAGACACAGAACGAGGTGTGAACTCATCTCACATGAGCTGTCACTCAGCTCAAACCAGAGACACTCACAAGTTAAATAGAAATAAATGTTTTAATATAACCAGATAGATGTCATGTTTATTGGCTATTAATGTTACAAGTGCAGGATGGGAATGACTACATGGGACCCAAATTCTTTTGCACTTGACATATCTGTGCTACCTTCCACACTAAGGGTCCCTGCTCAGACACTTTTGAGTTTGGCGTGAGGTCATCACTCACCGCTCCTCCTCCTCTAAAATAATTTTAAATCCTCACCCGAGGATATTTATTTATTTATTTATTTATATACAGCAGGAGGGGGAGAGAGAGAAAAACATTGGGAGAGAGAGACATTGATCAGTTGCCTCCTGCATGACCCCAACGGGGCCAGGAATCGAACACGCAACCAAGGTACGTGCCCCTGACTGGGAATTGAACCTGAGACCCTTTGGTCCATGGACCAACACTCTAACCACTGAGCAAAACCAGCCAAGGCATGCTTCTTCTTTCTGCTGAAATTACTGTGAAACCTTTGTTTATACAACTTCCTCTGATACATGTTGGCTTTCACTTAGTGAATTAGCACCCCGCATTCTCTTCCCCTAAGTCTGTGACGGGGCTAGTGTTGTAGAGACCACCACAAATGCTTTAATTATTCTAACAATGCTGAAAGCACCAGTATATATATTTTTAGATTGTCATCAGAATGAAAACAATATTCACGTTTTAATTAGGAACATCTAAATTCCATCATTTTGAGAAACACTGACGGGCAGTGTGGTCCAAGAACGAGCAGCATCAGCATCGCCTGGGGCTGGTCAGAGATGCATGGTGGCTTTTGGTGGTGCGCACGCAATGGAACACACAGATGTCTAAGATAATGCTGTGCACCTGATACTGATACAACATTATCAACCACAGCATTACATTAAAAAGTAAAATAAAACACAAATTTGTAGTCTCCCTCCCCCTCTAGCCTCCAGAATTCCCTCCGGGGGTTCAGAACCGGACTTTGGCCCTTGAGCTAAGTGTGATGCACCGAGTGGGAGAATTGCTCTCTAACTGAAGCGCCCGTTTCACAGATGAGAAACTGGCTCTAGCTCCAGTCAAGGTTGTGGCTAGTTTACAGGAAACTTGGTCTCAAACCTGGAGTCTGGGCTTCAGTCCAGTTCTGTTCCCAAAGCACTACATTGTCATCCCTTTCTCGGTTACTTGTTTCGTTCCCTTCGGGGTGGGGTGGGTTTTAAGGAGTGTTACTGAAGTTTTGGGGTCTTTTCATTTTGTCCTTACAGTGCCAGAACCTACTAAGACCTGTCCCAGCCAGCCGCAGCCTGCCGGTGCCGGGACCAGTTCTTCCACCAGCACTCTCTCCGGCAGCAGCAATGGCAAGCGCGCACCTGCCGGCGGCCAGCAGCCAGCTGCCTCCCGCTACCTGCCTCGCGAGGTGCCTCCACGCTTCCGCCAGCAAGAACAGAAGCAGCTATTGAAGAGAGGTCAGCCATTGCCCACGGGGGCTCTGACCAGTGCAAGCCCAACCCAGGGTGCTGGGCCTGCAGGGGTAAGCCCTCCCCCCCTTCCCGGAGCCGGAGCGCAGCAGCAGCCTAGTAAGCTCCAACCAGGTAAGACCACAGAGAGGCAGCTTTTATCTGGGAACTCGTGCTGTTTTCACCTTGGCTGCCCAGGAGTAAAAATGCATAGCTTTGGGTCCATATTCAGTATATCTATGTACTAGAGATAGCTAGCTAGCTGGATAATAGAAGATAGATAGATAGATGATAGATAGATAGATAGATAGATAGATAGATAGATAGATAGATAGATAGTAATAGAAGATAGATAGATAGATAATAGAAGATAGATAGATAGATAATAGAAGATAGATAGATAGATAATAGAAGATAGATAGATAGTAATAGAAGATAGATAGACAATAGAAGATAGATAATAGAAGATAGATAGATAGACAATAGAAGATAGATAGATAGATAATAGATAGTAATAGAAGATAGATAGATAATAGAAGATAGATAGATAGTAATAGAAGATAGATAGATAGACAATAGAAGATAGATAGATAGATAGACAATAGAAGATAGATAGATAGATGGATAGATAGATAGATAGAAGGGAGGGAGGGAGGGAGGAAGGAAGGAAGGAAGGAAGGAAGGAAGGAAGGAAGGAAGGAATTCATTTCAGTTGGATTTTAGTTTAACCCTGTTTTCCCCAAGTTACTCATATTATTTCTCATGTGTTTTTAGATGCATTAGTTACTTTGTTGCTTACCAAAAACCAAAGGTCTGTGTACAGAACATGCACCGTGTTAGGGCAGGTGCTTCAGGTCCCACAGTGAAACTTTTCAGTGAACCTGTCAGTTACTAGGAGAGCACATGGCCACGCACCCGTTCTCTGCAAGGAGGTAGCGGCACTCTACGGCAAGTGGGTGTTTCTGACTGACGTCAGACCCTAAGCCGAACATGCCTGACAGCTCCTCAAACTCAGCCTGCAGCATATCAGGTTCTGCTCCACCTGCTCCTCGCCAGCGTCTGCCTGCAGTTAGACCCAGCTTTCTCCGACTCCAGGAGAAAGCACCGCTTGCTCACTTGCTTTCCAGCTTCCAGAATGTGACATCTCACCTCCTGGCTCCTCTTCCCAGTTCTTGACCTTATGGATTTAGACTTCAAAAATTTCTTACCGGAGTTTTAGAGAAATTTGTGGAAGAGAGCAGAGTCCATGTGTTGAACTGCCACGTTTGTCTGTTGTTTTCTTAAGTCTCTCTATTTTGACAGTTGGCACTGGTCCTAGCGTGGAAACCCTGTTTGCTGATGGTAGTGAAATTCAGATCTGTAATTAGAGAAGCAAAGAAGCTTCTGGTGTTAGATTGGGATTTAAAAGAAGCATGTCACAGATATATTAATATTCTTTTCTCTCCTCTGCTGCCTTTCAGCATGGGGACTGGCTGCAGCAGGGTGCAGAGGTATTTATAGCAGCATTTCTCAAGGCATGGCTTTGTGGTGTATTCGGAACAAGTATTTTTAGACAGCTTTGCCATGACTCTTCAAATAGTCTTGTCTGTCATCAGCTCAGTTCCTGGTCGAGGGGCTGTGTGTCAGTGATTGTCAGCAAAAAGCAAGAAAGAAAAGAAATGATCAAGCATATTCATTGACCAAGAGTATGCTCCTACCCACTTCACTGTAAGCAGTTCATAATCAGACAAACAGTTACTTTCTACACTGGAATATGGTCCTTGGGACAGCCTTAACAGAGACAAAGACCATCCAGTCACACCTACAGAGCACGTGTGGCACTTCAGGGTGCTCATTGTTGAAAGCCTGGGAAAGAAATGCATCCACCTGCTCTTTCTGGGCTCATCTCCTGACATGGCCAGCTGCCAGCGTGGCATCGAGCTCATCAGATGCTGCTGGCTCAGAATGTGGCTGGCATCTACTCTCTCAGATAAGTAGGAAGTTAGCAAGAAATTGATTCAGCAAAATTTTGTATGAAAAATTTTTAATAAAACATTTGTCTCTGTAAGTAGAATATTCTCTAATTATTCCTAGCTCATTGTACTTTATATTATATATATAAAAGAATAGATCATCATTTTATGTATATCCACATCTCAGAAAATGGCATTAATCCACATAATATTAATAAAATAAGAAATGATTGCTTTTTGGCTCTCAAACAAAAGTCTTTGTTTTATACCAGTTTCATCTCTCCCAGCAATCTCGGACCACAGCCAGACGACGCTTTCTAAGTCGTCACCTGGAACTGATGCAGAGGTCCCCCAGCACCTGTGCCGGTTTCCGGGTGCCTGGTGCAGCCTCGCTTCTCTGCCTGTCTGGCGGGCCCTCCGCTGCCTGTCTGGCCGGCATGTTTCCTGCTCTCCATTCTGACTGGGCACACTGCCTTACTGCCTCACACATGTGCCCAGCTTGGTGTCGTCTTTCCAGGACATGCACGCACGTGGCTGCCTCTTTCTTTCTCTCCACATCATCATCTCCCCACCCCAAGGAGCCCCTGAGTATTTCCGTCCTTACTGCTCCTCAGTCTGCAACACACGACTTCACACTCGTGTGCTGTGGGACCTGCAGTGTCTGCCGACCAGGGCATCCTCTTAAGCAAGTGTCTGCACCCCCTCTGTAGGGGGGTTTAGCAGCAGGACAGGGCTGAAGTTTGGGGAAGACCCCGCAGCTGGCACTGGCTGTGGCACCGGGAGTGTTTCCTGTGTCCATCTCCAGGACAGGTCCGAGCCCCTCGTGACCTCTAAGTCCCTTCCCTTCCTAAGAGCTCGTTTGGTTTTGTCAATGGAGGGCGGTGCTCCGAGGCTCTTCGCAGGCTCCCTCGGCTCCTCTCCAGTTCTTACAGCCGTTTTGAGGTCTTTTCACCCTGGCTGCTCTGGATGCACTGATGGAGAGCCTGAGGCTTCCCTGAGGGGTAGCATCTAAGGAGGGACCGGGAGTGGAGTCCCAGCCTCGACGACTAAGAACCGGGAGGCCACGACCAGGCCGCTCAGAGGGGAGAGGCAGAATTGGTGGGGCGGAAGGGCTGAGCTGGACAGGGTGAGCCCTGTGAGAGGACCAGCATCCTACCTTTGTCGCTGGCAGTGTCCACACGTAGTCACGGGTCTCCAGGTGCGGAAGGACTCCGGTGCCACTGCAAGGCCAGGGTTCCTGCCAACTCTGGTTCCAGTTCCTTCCTTTAAATGACACCCGTTTGGCTCATCGGTTAGAGCATCTGCCTGCGGTCCAGAGAGACCTGGGTTTGGTTCCTGCTAAGGGCACGTACCTCGGTTGTAGTTTGTCTCCGGCCCTGGTTGGCGTGTGGGTGGCAGCCACTTGATGTGTCCCTTTCACGTCGGTGTTTCTCTCTCTCTCTCTCTCTCTCCCCCCCCCCCTTCCCACTCTATCTGAGCAAAGAATGGAGAGATGTCCTCGGGTGAGGATTAAAATAAATGACAGCCGTTTGTCCTGACATAAAACATGGCCTTCTAATAAAATAATACAGGAGAAACTGAATTTTTAAAGTGATGGAATGAACTGGCAAAAAATGTTAACTGGTAACAAGTGTTAGTATGTCAATGTGGTGATTCAGGTTCCAGAAAAATGTCATTTATCACGTTATTTTCTATTCGGACTGTGTTTTTGCAAGTCTGAAGCATAACCCCAGCTTCAAACACTTGAGAGCTTTCATCGTTTTCTAGAAAACTCTTCTGTGCTAAAGGCAGAACAATGGATTGTTTTGGTGACTGCTTCGTACGTGTATAAACAGGCTTTGGCGATTGCACGGCTGTGTGTGCTACTTAGACCGTTTTTAGATGGAGGCAGGAAAGTAATTAAGAAGTTGGACACTTGCCAATTTGCATATGGTGCTCATTTGGAATATTAGAGCAGTGTTGGTATGCCAAATGTTTGGGGTTAGGGAGAGCGAGAAGAAGCGGGAGCGCAAACAAAGGCAGAGAGAGCGAGGCAGTTTATCTGCACGCAGCCGACGGCATGTGCCGTTGTTCTCTTGGCTGACTTTCAGAACACAGAAGCAAACCAGCTCTGGTGCTCCCTGTAACTGGGGCCTCAATAAAAACGTTGTGACAATTGAAAGAATTGAAAGAGGATGGAAGATCGGTTTAGTGTCAGCTGCAATTAGATAATCAAAGCTTTTCAATCCCCTCCGTGGGCACCTCCCCCTGCTGCAGAGGGTGAAGCTGGGCCTTCCAGAGAGGAAGGGCTGCCAGCACTGCCCACTGGGTGCCACGGGAGCCCGCAGGTTGCCTGGGACTTTCCTGTCAGCGTGACAGAATGAGGCTGTCGCTGTGCACAGCCGACATGGTGGAGCTGAGAGCCCAGGCGACCCCAGCTACAGGCGAACAAGCAGCTGGCTCACCAGGTAGCATCTCCCAGGGGGAGGGGGCACTTTTCTGTAGGTATTTCTTCCCCCATAGGCCCTGGTAGAGAAGGAGAAATGAAATGCACATGGAGCAGAGCGTGTGCTTGTCCCAAGTGAGTGAATAACGTGCTGTACAGGGAGCAGCTCCGAGACCAGGCTCCGGTGCAGGCCACACTGATAAAATGGCGTCTTAGGGCAGCTGCTGGCCCTGGACCTGCTTTCAGCAGCCGAGCAGGACAGCCATGCAGGGGAGCAGAGTAGGGCAGCCAGCAGGACAGCTGGGCCAGGCAGCCATGCAGGGCAGCTGGCAGGACAGCCAGGTAGGGCATCCCCACTGGTCCTTCTCCACTTCCTTGGCATTGGCCAGCCTTCCAAAGGAGGACGCAGCTCATTTTGCCCCCACTTTTATCATTGTTCTAATAGGTTGTCAACCTGGAGGAAACAAAAACTGCTTTTACTGCTCATTTGAAGAAAAACCCAGGGCAATAAGCTGATTCTCTTGGACACTTTCGTTATTGTTTCCAGTAAACCTTCTACTCCAAAACCTGTACTCTGTTCATGATTGCTTAGAGGGGTTGACGGACCAGGTGTTTCAGAGTCTGTCCAGCGATGGAGTTCTGAATTCAGATCTCCCCAAGATTTTTTACACACAGTAAATGCAGTGGAGGATAAGGCGTTTGGGGTTCTGAAAAGCTATAAACGGTTGTTACATGTATCCCTCCCCTTGGAAACCAAG